ATTTTTATTAAAAACTTTATTTATAATATTATATAAATTAATTTATTTTTTAATAAATTAAAATTATTTTTGTATATTAATTGAAAAAAAAGTCCAGTAAAATTCAAACATAGCACTTATAAAAAATAAATGACCTTGATCCAAAATATAAATTACTAAACCAAAACAAATTGTTTTATAAATTAATTTATTTAATGATACTTTACTATTATAAATTTATAATTTTACGCTATGTCTTCACAGCTATAACTTTACGGCATAGCGTGACCCTTCTCCCCCCTAATTAATTTTACCATAAAAAATAAAAATAAAGTACCAACTACCTAGTTTTATAGGCTATACAGCAAAGTGAATAGGTAGCGAATCTGAATGTGAGTGATGCCAGCTGTGAAGTTGAAGGATCAAAGCTTTCTCTGAAGGTCAAAGCTGGCATTTTTTCATTTTACTCTCTTTTTTTACAAACCACATTTTAAAATCCCCCTCCAGCTCCCCTCTATATAATCCCTTCTCCCCTCATTTTTTATTTTCCCCATAAATAAAATTCCATGTTCCATCTCTGAGACCAAGCTACCCAAGAAGAGAGGTTCATGGTTGTTTTCTGATTCTTCCTCGCCAAGTTTCACACTCCCAAATCCAACCATGGCTTCGTCTTCTTCTTCTCAAGAAAAGAGACACTGGTGGCTCAGCAATAGGAAGGTAGAATCTCCGATTCAGTTTTTATGTTTCCTTTTTATCCTGTGTGTTTTTCTTGAAAATGTGTTTAATTTTGTTTCGTGTTGGTTTTTTTTTTTTTAAAAAAAAAAATTTTTAGATTGTGTACAAATATATTAAGGATGCGAGGATTCTGATTGCGACGCGAGAACAGAGCGAGATCGCCTCGGCGTTGAACCTCCTCGACGCGGCGCTGGCTCTGTCGCCGCGTTTGGAGATCGCTCTTGAGCTCAAAGCCAGATCGCTTCTCTATCTCCGCCGGTTCAAGGATGTTGCCGATATGCTTCAGGATTATATTCCGAGCCTCAAGATGATGATGGCAAGCGAGGACTCCGGTTCCGTCTCCTCCGATAACTCGTCTCAACAGCTTTCTCGAGAACGAGTCAAGCTTCTCTCCTCTAGCAACTCGTCCTCCGACTCACCGGGTCGGGACCCGACTTTCAAATGTTTCTCTGTCTCGGACTTGAAGAAGAAAGTGTTGGCCGGGTTGTGTAAAAACTGCGAAACGGAAGGGCAATGGAGGTAATTTACATTTATTTCCATTTCTATTTCCTCATTCCATAATTATTGTTTTCATAGTTACAGTTTGGAGTAAATGCCGTGTCAGTCTGCCGCACATCATAAATGACTATTAAGATATTTTTTGGAAAAAATAATTAATTATCAATTCACTATATATTTTTATTATTTTCGTATAAAAGAAAATAATTTCCTGAAATTTCCAATTTTAGAAAAAAATTTAATTTCAATCATTTTCCCTAAAATATAGAATCTCAATTTTCTCAAATAATGAAGATTGCGATGGAAGAAAATGAGAGAGAAGGGAGAGAATTTTTTTTTTTAAAAAAAAATTCTTGATGGCATTATAGTAATTTAGGTTGGAATCGGAATTTTGAACTCAGCGTTTAACTCAGTTCGTGCCGCCGTTTTGATGTAGGTACTTGGTTTTGGGCCAGGCTTGCTGTCACCTGGGCCTGATGGAGGACGCCATGGCGCTGCTCCAGACAGGGAAGCGCCTTGCCAACGCCGCATTACGGCGAGAAAGCATCTGTTGGTCCGACGATAGCTTCTCCCTTCCTGTCACAACGACCTCTGATGTCTCCTCCGCTTCCACCGCCGTTACTCCTCCATCAACCCCTCCGCGTAACGCCGCTTCTATTGCCGAAACTGAGAATATCTCGCATCTCCTCGCTCACATCAAGTTCATGCTCCGCCGCAGAACCGCCGCAATTGCTGCGCTGGATGCCGGCCTCTACTCGGAGGCCATTCGCCACTTCTCCAAGATCGTCGACGGCAGACGCCCTGCCCCTCAGGGATTCCTTGCCGAGTGCTATATGCACCGCGCCTTCGCCTATAAAGCGTCTGGTCGGATCGCCGAGTCAATTTCCGATTGTAACAAGACTCTGGCTCTTGATCCCACTTGTATACAAGCTCTCGACACCAGAGCTTCACTTCTAGAAACCATCCGCTGCTTGCCGGATTGCTTACACGATCTTGAACACTTAAAGTTGCTTTACAATTCCATTCTACGAGACAGAAAGCTCCCAGGTCCAGCGTGGAAACGTCATAACGTGAGGTACAGGGAGATTCCGGGAAAGCTCTGTGCTTTGACGACCAAGGTTCAGCAATTGAAGCAGAGGGTCGGCTCTGGCGAAACTGGAAATGTAGATTACTATGCTTTGATTGGATTAAGGCGTGGGTGTTCGAGGTCAGAGTTGGAAAGGGCTCATTTGTTACTCTGTCTCCGGCATAAGCCGGACAAAGCTATTAGTTTCATTGAAAGATGTGAATTTGGCGATGAGCGTGATCTTGAATCGGTCAAGGACAGAGCCAAGATGTCCGCAATGCTTCTCTATAGATTGCTTCAGAAGGGTTATTCGAGTCTGCTGACTACGATAATGGATGAAGAAGCCACCGAAAAGCAGCGGAAGAAAGCTGCCGCTGCTCTCCAAGCAGCACAGTCAGCAATACAAGCGCAACAGACACAAAATCCCAACCCCAAATCAGAACCCGAAGAATTGGATGCTTCTCCGGCTTGTTCCAATGAGAACAAAGCAAATTCATCCTCTAATGCAAATGTGTTTCAAGGTGTATTCTGCCGTGACTTGGCTGTCGTCGGGAATTTGCTTTCACAGGTTGGATTCAACCGTCCACTCCCGGTGAAGTATGAAGCACTTAGCTGCTGATTTTATCTTCAAAAATTGGCCCCAAAATTGATAGAAGGATCTCTCGAGATGTTTTCCCGGCAGAAGGGTCTCTAGTTCATCTTCTCTGTTTGTACAAAAAGTCGACACCTTACTTCATAATTCTTAATCTGCCGGAAAATTTTGTCTACCACCTTTCTCCTGTGTTATCTACTCAAATCTCCATGTACAGAGATTTCATTTTTCAGTATCAGTATGAGATTTCTACTATTGTGTTTATTATTTTCAGCTTAAATTTTGAAACTTACATATCCCCTAATTGCAAATTGATCTTAATTTTTTCTATGTTTATGGTTTATCCGTGGACTGACATGGTCTGACATTCCACATTGCCAATATACTTCATTTAATTAATACATCCAACGAAAATTTTTGGCATCGTCCACAGAGTGAAAGGACAAGTAACTGGTGTAGAAGCCATCATGTGTTGGTGTTGTGGCTTTGAGTGCATCAAAAGGACAGTGTCAAGTCACCCACAGAAGAAGGAGAGAGAGAGAGAGAGAAGGGTCTGACAAATTTCTGCCTTCCTCTGGTCCTCTACCTAACACAACAAAAGAAAAGGTCTAATCCAACACTCAATACAAAGAAAACCAAAGGGGTTAGAAAGGTGATGTCATTTCAATGCGACCCTTCTGCCATCATTTACGCTTTTGTGCTTCGGTTTTCATGCAACACGGTTCTCCATTGCTGCCCACTGTGTGCATGATTGCACATGATGGGAGGTGGCATTGGTTCCATAGCCATACCTCCGGAGTAATAATAACAGTCTTGAATTCTTGATTCAAGGGTGCGTACAAGGCTAAGCATTTTGGAGTTTTGAGATAGAGTTATCAGGTACTTGTGCTTGCGAAGGTAGGATCATAATGCGCTTTGGCTCCTTATTTTGTCACCTAGCTAGGCCAAGAGGTCCTTTTTGCCAAAAGGGGTTCCTGAGATGGTTGGATAAAGTTCATTTGGTAGCTGTTCCATCCTTTGAAATTTTAATGGCTCTGCTTTCTTGTTGGGAGAGCAATTAATTTCTCCCTTTCTGATGCTTTATTATGGTATTAGCCATTTAGCCTCTGCATTCACCAGCTTGCAATTCTGTTTTGGATGGTTTCATGGTTATGATAAAACTCGGTTTCCACCATCTTTCCTTTATTAGGAACCAATTAATGCCTTAAGCAGTCATCATGTTAAGGATAAATTACCCCCACAAAAAGACCTCTTTGAAATTTACAAAAGTAATGGTCTATTCGCTTGGCATCATCATTTCTCCCTCACAAGTCAATTTTACCTTACCACTAGCTAGTTACCCCAACGACATGATGAAAAAACAAAAACCCCCCATTTGATTGCTGCATTATCTTATCAAACTTTTCCACGAGAGAGTCCAATCCACTTATACTTTTTTAACTATTGACTACCTAATAATTTGTTTAAGACTTATGTTAGATCTCAACACGCTTTGATCAAGGTGTCCCTCAACTAATTAAAGTTTTCAATTAAGTTTAATTTAATTGAGTAAAATTTCCTTACCATTGTAAAGGGTTCCTGCCCCATGCATTAATTGGCTTCTGTATGATATCTTTTCTCCCTTAAAATAAAAGCACTCCTCTTTCCTTTCCTTTCTTTTCCTTTCCTTTCCTTTCCTTCCAAGTGATTTATGCTCACAAATCACCTCTGATTTGTCCTTCCAAGCTACTCCTCCACAATTTACTCTGCTTTATACTTTTAGAGAACATGGATTGAGGGAAAGGAAACTCAACTTTGCTTAATATCGCTGCAGAGAATAATAATAACAAACTTCCTTCTTCTCTAAAAAGGCCAAATTCTCAACAAAATGACAAACGCACACCATAATCTCATTATGCCCCCCCTAGAAAATATATTTCCCTTTTTATATGCACTAGTTCCTTTAAAATTCTCCTAATTCTTCAAATATTCAAATAACATAACAATTGAAAATGGGTGTTTCTGTAGCACAATCTGTCTCGCGTGGTAACACCTGCACACAGCTATTCATTGCACAAAAATACCCCCCCCCCCAAAAAAAAAAAAAAAAAAAGAGGAGAGAAAACAGAGGAAGTTGAAAAGGAAGATATGCCTCGAGCATCTTTATCTAATGTCCTCTGTTTTTTTTTTAATATCTGAAAAGTTGGAAACTATGAGTGGCAGCCACTCATTTTTCTTGCAATTCCCAGCTGCACCTCTGACAAATATAAAGAAATTCAAACCCTGTCTTTTTATAAACATTTAAAACATTATTTTTAATTATCTTATGGCCAAAGAAAAGGAAGCTTTGCACCATTTCTCACGAGGGTACCAATTTTGCTTATATATATATATATATATGGTTTTCATAATGCATAGACTTTATAAATGGAGCTTCTGTTTCTATACATTTGATTTCAAAAGCTTTATTAATAGCTAGGGCAGAATAAGGATCTGTTATTGGTTAGAGCCTATTTTATTTTGTTTATTGGTAAAATTTAAAATTAAAAGGTTTTATAAACTATTTTTATTTTAATAAATAAGACCTATAATTACAAGTTTTGAAAATAATGAAAATTTTTTGAGAGGGAGTATACTGCCTGTATTTAAACCCTCTCTAACGTCGGCCCGCCTCTTATTGCTAAAGCCAATAGAATTTATATGTAATTCCAGTCTCATTGAATTAGGGCTATATAGGCCAATGATTGAGCACAGATATCCTGGTTCTGCTCCTTCAGGACCCCTAAAAAATCACAGCTGTTCTGAGCCCATGTATACAACACAAAAACCTTCAAGCTAAATGAATGTTGTGCTGACACTCAGGTTGAGATGAATAATGAAAATGAAGAGCACTAACTGGTATTTAATGCATAAGCACAACCCAAAAAAAAAAAAATAATAATAATAATAATAGTAGAAGATATACAAGAGTAATTGAAATGGATTAGGATTAAAAAAATGGGGTTATGTTATGGTAACACAAAATATTATAAATGTATTTAATTTATTTAATTATATACATAATTATTAAAATGCTTAAAAACATCAATTTATAATTAATTTTAAACTATTAAATAATAAATAATAATTATTTTATTTATTATAAATTAACAATTATAATTATAAATTATTTCTAACAATTAAATTAAGTACACTTATATTATTTTTTCTGCCTTAACCATTCTGTGTATTACCCTAGTTGGCCATAACCATGGCCAAGAGAATGACACGTGATGTTTGAATGTTGGGGACATCGGAAAGAGGAGAAGTCGTGGCCAGGTACAGCAATGTCAGTGACACCATGTGATGGCATCATGTGCCTCTCCTTTCTTCTATTCTTTATTAAGCAAGGTATAAGAATGAACCGTATAGCCTATATATCTCCTTTATTTAGCTATAAATTTTCAAATTCTGACAAATTCTCTATTTTTATTCTTCTGTTCCGTGTGAAACATAAAGAAAATGGCAACGAAAGAATGTGATTTGTTTTGGTTTTTTAAAAGGGTAGTTGAGATTTAGAACTTTTGCTAAGCTAATCTGTCTTAGGGAAAAATGGCTGGCATTTGGATGTTTTGTTGTTGAGATCTGAGTCTGCTTTTTGACATTCATTAGTTCATCCATTGGTGGAGAGCAATGTTGAATTTGAATGATTCTTTTCACAATAAGGTGGTATTGTGGGTACCAAAACATATAAAATCCTAACTCTATATATTCACATGGGATTTGATTTTAGTATCTCTAATTAGCAAAGTCAAAACCTAAATTTAGTCAAAGCTAATTTTATTGAGATTTGTTTATTGTATGTACTTGGGGGAGGCCTATCTTGAAAGTTCAATTGCACATGCTTTTAGTTTAGATGTTATTTTGAATATAAGAGACTAGTCTCTATTGAGCGTATAAGTCTCTAGTTTGTACATAAATATTTAATATTTGACTTATTATCTCCCATGTATTTCAATAGTTAACACCCACATGTGAACACTTAATATGAATTTAACTTATTTTTGTTGGTTTTGGCTGTAAATTCACTTTTTTGTTTTGTATTTTTAATGGAGATACTACATATACAATAATGTTTTCTTATATATATATATATTATAATAGAACATCAAATAAATATAGATAATATTATGTGTGATTTTTTAAATAGAAAAAACCATACTTAATCAGTTGTGGTATCACGTTATGTGTAATATTATGCAGAAAATATTGTGAGCGTAGCTTTTTGCGTTTTGTTTGAAGTAACTTCGTAATGTGGGAAGCTGGGTAATGGGGACACTGTACTTTTGTCCGCTACAGTGGTTAGATTTTCAAGCTACAGAACAGAACCGCGGCCGGTGGGCATGGATTCTCAGAATGAAAACGATGGGAAAAAGGAAATTCAAAAATGGCTGCACCTCGCCGGTACGGCGGGTCCTTGACCTGGCCCTGGTAGTACTAGCCTGGTTGCATCAGTAGAAACTTTGTATGTACGGACAAAAATGTGGAAAAAGCCTGAGTTTTGGTTTGAATTTATAGGAAATTTCTCTTTTCACAAACCCACCCCCCGCGGAAGAGAAAAAAAAAAAAGGGGGGGAATATTGGAAATGTCATTGTTTGCATCCTTACCTTCCAATATCCATTTATTTGAATTAATTACAAAACTAGAGCAACTCCTCCTTTGCTATTAAAGGGATTTATTTTTCCATTCCTCATTATGACTTTCTTTCCTAAAGAAAAATGGGAGCTAATGTGGCTAACTTTATGTTGATTGATTACAATCGCGTAGAGCTACAATAGATTGCAAGCAACAATAGAAAGATGAGTTTTTTTAACACTATTTTGAATGGTGACATTAACCTTGGCTTAATGACAGAAGCGTTGAACAGTGAAAACATGTTCCTAAAGCTTTTCTAATAGGAAGTAGCAAGCTTTCCCAAAATGTGTATCTGGCTTGGGCTGAAAAATATTTTCAACCACTCTGTTCATATGGGTTATAGCTCAGAAGTCAGGCCCACATTTGAAAAATGTATAGCCTGTGGTTGTGGAGCCATGGTGTCATACACTGAATAGTGAATGACAAAAGAAATATTGCATGGATATGGCTGGGCCAAAAAATAAAAAAGTAAAAACTAAAGTGTATGGAAAATATTGTTGAAGTAACTTTTCCAAACTCAGACCAATTGTAATGAATTCTACAAGATCTTGTTGCCTATAATGTACAAGACTAAGATGGTTACTGACAAGCCATGTCATCACTTTGATGATCATCTGGTGGGGTGCACAAGTCCTCAGTAGTCTTATTTGCTCTGCTTACCAAGGCAGCCAAGGACTTCTGTGCCCATGATTGGGTACTGTACAGTACATGTCTCTCAAGAGAATACCCAGGCTTGCAAACATACTCAACTAGGTAGTCAGTAACAATGCAAGGTATCTCATATTTTAAGAACTCTTGGACCCAGATATCATCGCGTGGCATGCCAGGGCTGATAACAGCAAAGTCAATTCCAGATTTGAGGAATCGTGTGTAAGGGGGAGAAGTAGCTAGTATGGTACCATCTCCAGCCTTCACAACACGCTTCAGAGTATCCTGTTTGATGAACAGAGAGACACAAGGAATTAACAAAAGATATAAGACCTATTCATACAATCATCATGAGTTCAAGGGAATCAGTACAAAAGAGTTTATGGTGGGAGATTTCATGAATTGTATAATAAGCAAAAGAATGGTAGCAAATCCATATATAATAAAGAAAACATACCAACGGGGGTGCAATGCACTCTCCATATACAATGATGCGCATCCCATAGAAAGCTCCATGGCCAGTTCTCTCCCTTAAGAGACGCCACTTTCTAGGAGCCTCTAAATTTATAGCACCATCTTCACTGAGGCCATTCTTATGCCACTCATAAGGCTCCTCTGGCAAGAACTTTCCTGCCTGGCTGCTAGCGCTTAAATAATCAGTCTTAAGAACCCACCTGCGTTGAGGAGAATATCAAATTCACCCCCATTTGTTGAGAGTAAAATAACTATACATTTTTTTAAGTGAAAAAGCACAAGGATGCTAGAGAAAGTTTCAGCACAAGATTGCCAAATTTTAAGTAAGATGAATGCGCAAAGTTTTTGAAAGTTGAATAGGAAATTGTACCTGCCAGATGCAGCTGCGGCAAAAAACTTTTCAGTCCTGCGAACTGGATCTGGAACTATGAAATGTGTTGCTTGGTATGACCACTGATGAGAATCTCTGCAACATCTGCCTTTCAGACGCTTAATGACTTGCTGAAATTCCTTTCTCTGATATCTATGCCCACTAAATATAAACCACATTGGTTCACATTTCACCTTGTTTGATACCTCTTGTAACGGCAGCCTTCTAGAATTGATGTTCCCACAAATTTCATCACTCTTTACTTGTTTCTTGTTTGATTTAGTAACTAATTTACCAGAAATTGATTTCCCAGGATTCGGATTTTGACCCACATCAGCAACTGGCCTATTCTCCTCTTCCACAGAGTTCTCCAACTCATTTGCAGATACTATGCTGTCATTATTTTTGGCCCCAAAATTCTCCTTTTCATTAGCAAGATTCTCCGCATCTCGAGTCTCTTCTGCAACCAATTCTTTCTTTGATTTAGTAGGAATAGTCTTATTCTTGGCCTTACCAGTAGGGCGTTTCCATACTTGCTTTGCTTTGACTTTGGATGCATATTCTGGAGATGTTGATCCATCCAATTTTGTTTTCTTATTGGAGATGGCACCTTCCAGGTTGGTCTCATTTGCTGCAATCTCTGAGGCTACTATTTCCTCATGAATAGTGTGAGCAGCCCTGGAGGGATCTGTTGAATGTTTGGTTTCCATTGCCCTATCTGCTTTATGTGCCAAATCAACAAACTCAGACTTCTTTTCGTTAGATGACTTCTCAAATTCATGTTTGTCTTTCTCATCAGGAGCCTCAGTTTTAGCTTTCATGAATTCTGTTGAAGTTGATTCATTCAATTTGGTTTTCTTATTGGAAATTGCACTTTCTAGGTTGGTTTCATTTGCTGCATTCTCTGAGGCTACCATATCCTGATGCATAGCAGCACTGGAGTGACCTATTGAAAGTTCAGTTACCCTTGTCTCATCTGCTTTGTTTGCCAAATCAACAAACTCAGACTTCTCTTCGTTAAATGTCTTCTCAAATTCATGTTTGTCTTTCTCATCTGGAGCCTCGGCTTCATTATCCACAAATTTGGTCTCCTTAGCAGCAGTATTCGTGACAGCTTTTGCCGTCATCTCCTTAACTTCATCTTTGCTAACTGCTGAGGGGGATGCTTCTTTACTTCCACTACCATGATCTGCTCTCTCTTTAACCCCACTCAGGCAAATTGCAGGATCATTTTCGGATGCAATTTTGTTGGTGTAAATGGAACATTTTTTGTTAGCAATATTACTCACCTTTGGTCTACCTAAGGTCTTCTTGGAAAGCATCTTTGTCTTCGGCCGTTCTCCATCCAACTTATTACTTCCCCCTTCAACTGAATCCAAGTTTACAGTGCCATAGGACTGCCCCATCTCTGGTTCTCTGCCACTTGGGAAGGAATCCACATCTTGCTTCTTATTTTCTGGTACCACAGGCTCCTCAACAACATGAGAAAATCCTTCCATGTGAAGACTTTTGACACTGGACTTACTTGCTGAGTTGGACTCCCTCAATTCCCTGCAGGACATTGGTGACTTCTCAGCATTCTCATTTTGCCTGTTCTCTTCACTTACAGTCAGAAATGAAGTCAAATCATTTTTTAATGACTTCTCATTGGCATTTGAGGCCTTCTTTGCAATGCTCACACTAGAGTTATTTGCAACATTTAGATCAGGACTTGTTATGGTGGGTGCTTTTGCATTATGACTTGTCTTTTGCAATTTAGAGTTTGTGATAGAAGCATCCATCACTCTTTTCTGAGGCAATATCCCAGCTGAGTCTTCTCCATGATATGGACTACTTCCTCCCAAAGGAGATTCAGTGTGACAAATGCTGACTCTGCCCTTTGCTTGCTCCAATTTAGGGGAATAACAATCAGAAGCATCCTTAAGTCTCATTGCTTCAGGAGACCCATTTGTATTTCCTGATCTCTCTCCTGAGAAATCTGGGAGTGTAGATCTACTGGGTGTTTTTCTTGAGTCTATGGCAGTAAACTTGTCATCGTTCTCAGTATAAGATGCAAGGTTCACTTGTATCTTTGTAGAATTTGGGCTTTTCTCGGGTTGTACCTGAAATTCAACAGAAGAAACATTCCCAGAAGCACCAGTTTCTTGACAACCATGTGTCTCAGAGATGTGCAAATTATTGAGGCTTGGGGATGAAATGTTCAATTTGCCAGTGGTCAAAGAAATCTCCATGGAGTTAGCATTTGTTGGATCTTCAGGCAAAGATGGATTTGGCAACTCCATCGCTGATTTGGGCAATTCAGTGGCACTCAACATTCTAACCTTTAAATCATGAGGACTCTTGCCAATATTTCTCATAGCAGATTGCTTTGTTGCTGTTTCTCCAACCTCTTCATCAGAATCTTTTGCTTCAGCTTCCATCATCTCTAACTCATAATCACTGTTAGGAAGAAGGGATTACAAAAAGTTAGACATGATTATTGAGGCAAATAAACCCAATAAGATTATTAGACAGCTATCATAATATGGACCTTGAGATATATAGGATATAGGATACTAGTCCACCAAGGAGTCAACATTTCTAGATGAGATATGGTAAGGCAGCGGATAAAAATTATACTTAAAAATATGAAAGTATCACAGGTAATTACATAAGAAGCAGCTAACAGACATCTCAATTCTTATATATCTCCTCACCTCTGGTTATAATCAGCCTCTGGAAGAAGCTCCCAATCCCTCAAACTGCAGACAAGATAAACAGAGAAATATTATATATATACTTTTTGGCCATTAGCCAAAGTGCACTTTAAAGTCAATACTACTTTATCAATAACTATTTGTTTTCCAGGATGTAGAAACCCAACATACCAGCCTTCCAACCATCGCTGGTTGACAAGCTTTATCTTCTTCAATTTCTTGGCAAGCTCATACTTCTCCCCTGTACAAGTTCATAAACAACAAAACATAATTCTAGAGGTGCTGATTAGAGCATACCTAGAATTTCAAAAATCACTTATCATATAAGAACTTAGTAAATGATAAAAATCAATTGGAGGCACTCCTGATTTACAGTTTGTTAAACATAATATTAACTTTGTTGACCATATATATTTTGATTTATATGCGAACTCGAGTATCTACAAGTATAACATGTGGGATTAGCTGAACACAGAACATCCAATAAGGTAAAAATGACTCTGCATGCACATCAAATAAGCATTTCTCTTTTCATATTAAATGCTCCATGATGAGGTGAATGTTAAAAAACAAAAACAAACCTTCAAATTTGTAGCATATAAGATGAGTGACTTTGTTTGCCACCAGTGGCTTGGAAAATTGAGCACCCATCAAACCAACCATTATCTGAAAATAAAAATAAAAAATAAAAAAACCAAGTTTTGTACAGATCTACTGTTTTATACTTAAATAGAAACCACTACAGACTCTTTCTAAAACCATGAAATAAGGATCCTTACCATAATGTCTTCTCGATCTTGTCTCTGATAACCAGTCAAACACACAGTTAGACTTTTGGCACCCGGAATCCCATTCAAATCTCTAAGAGGCCTGTACAAAATCTGTAGACTAACAACTATGAATATTCACCTTTTTCAAAAACCCATACAAGGAAAATGTTTAAAGTTACCAATAAAAGAAAAGGAGCCAAAAGAATTGTAGGGCTAAATGCAAAACAGTAATTTCTAGAATCAGATTCAACCACAAGTCAAACATTTTAGGCTTAGCTTCAAGTAATCACATTAGAAACAGTTGCACTAATGATTATCTTATTATCCCAATGCCTGGTTAACTGATTCATCTCAATTGAATTGAATAAAATAAAATTAAAAAAAAAAAAAAAACATTTTTTAGGATCCCAAATTAACACTCATATCATATTTGAAGAAAAATCTAGTGGTCGAACTCACCGAAGTGGCATCAACTGGCATTCCAATATCAAAACTGTGATCAACCCATAAGCCCGTGACAACTGTTTTTCCATCGTTTCGGGCAGCAACACATACAGGATCATCCTACAGCACAAATGAGTCCAGATTTTAGCAATGAACATAAAATTACTAAAAATGCTTGTTTCTCTTTACAAAACAAAACATGGGAGCAGCCCTGTTTTCTTAATAACAAAAAAGCATTGAATCTAAATTTAAAAAATTCAAAAAAGAAGAAGAAGAAGAAGAAGAACATACATAGACAATCCTGCCAACAATGACATGAGTGCAACTCTGGCTGTACTGACCGACGCCTACACCGCCGCCATCAATAAGCTTTGATCGAACCTACATATTTCCAGTTCAATAATCGTACAAGGACTCAGTTGGGCAGTCAATAAGCAGTTAAATTTCACGAAAAAACAAAAATGGATCTGAAATTCAAGAACCCTAAATATAGAAACATAAAGAAAGGAAGGAGGAGGGTGATAGAGAGGACCTGGCGTTCTGTGATGGGCTCGAATCCAAAGAGAAGGAAATGGACGCCGAGAAACGGCCTGGACGGAGAATCGGGCTCCAGCATTGAATCTAAATTACTTTTAGGGCAAGTAAATCTGCTAAAACTTCGATTTTGCTTGAAGAAATCGAGGAAAAAAGGAAATCCAATCCAGAATCTGGGAGTAAAGAATTGAAGGAGAGGGGAAAGAAAGAAGAGAGTATGTGCTTGTTTCAGTAGGAAGAGTGAAATTATTTGGAGAAGAGGAGGAGGAAGAGGAGGAGGGAGGAATATTTTTTGTTTCGTTATTTTGATTTAATTTTTTGCGCAGTGGCGGGAGATTGAAAATTTCTTGAGCGGCGACACAAGAGTAACGTTGAAAATAGGATGTTAATACCTTTGTTTATATCTTTCCCAAGCACGGAGGAAACATAGACTTGGGGGTTGGACCGTGACCAGACGGGTGTGTCAGGTTGGGTGTTGTGCTGGGCTACAAAGCCTAGATAAATTCAATTGGGCCTAATGGGACGTACATGCTAGGCCCAGAAGTTTAATTAAAATCTAAAATACAAAATAAGCCTTATTTCCAAGCGACGCTTAGCTACTTGTCCAATCATATATTATTATAAATATCATTAAAATTGTATATTTATAATTTTATATACTATTATAATTAGAAATTAATGTGCATTAATCTCTATTTTTTAAAAAATTAAAATTTTAAAACTAAAATTTTAATGTAAAATT